CACTATCCATACATTTTTAACTAGGAGTAGTAAAAGGGTGGGTCGGATATGGTTCGGGTAAAATGGGTAATGAAAAAACGGATCAATTATTTGACCCGACCCATATTTAATACGGATAAAAAATGGTTAACCGGCGAATAATATGGGTAACCATATTATCCATGACTTCTTGCATATGGTCACTTTTTGGAGAATTTTTAGTATCCACAACTTGAGGAATCCCCAGTTTGAGGCTCTTACAAATGTAAAAGTTAAGACACATTGGTTATCTATGGTTAATCATTAGTTATCCATTTTCTAAATGGATAATATAGTTTTTATCCATATTTGATCCGCTTTTAAAAATTTCATTATTCAACTCATTTTTTAGTGGATAATATGGGTGGTTAACTGTTTTTTTAACCATTTTACCACCACTATTTCTAACCATGCACAACTGACCCTTGATGATTTCTCGGATACTAAAAAAATAGATATTGTCAGAAAAATCTGAAAAGCAAAAAGTTGAACAGATTTCATGTGTCAAAAAAAGGTTTGTAATACATGTATTTTTTCGAGTCCGGAACTGAAATGTTATCATTTTGGACAATAGTAACATTAATAAGTATAAAAAAAAGTTATTTATATATAGCGCGGTTTAAAATCACTCTATACTTTAACTGTGTTTTAGTCGTTAAAGTATAGCGCGGTTTAGAATCGCGAGTGAATCACAAATAAGTGAAGATATAAATGTGAATTCTGCACAAACTATTTTACCTTTGCATGTGAATCACGAGTCTTTTTTTTTTTTTTTTTTTTTTTTTTTTTTGCAAGTGAAAATGTGAATCATGTACTAGTGTAAGTGATATGTCCACGTGTAAAAACCAGAGAGGATGGTACGAGAGAGATCACGTGCCGAGGCCTACATGGAGATTCGATCAAGACTCCATTTGATTTAGGATGTGTAATTATTAAGCCCATGTGATCATGTACTCCCTTGCCAAAAGAAGAATAGTTTTGTTACTATTTGAAAGGTGAATGATTTTTCAACTTACTAATTTTATGAGCTTTCATTTTAGGTGACTTTTTGATAATTTGAGGAAATTGATTTTTTTTCCATAATAGGTATGGTATGACTAAAGTCATTTTTTGTTAAATATATTTTTCAGAAATAATATTTTCCAATGTGAAAAATGTTTTCCGGAAAGATATACATTAAAGATTATTAAAATATCAGTAAATCATAGGATATTTGCATAAAAATTTGTAGCATATATTTAACACTTTTAATAGAATTTTCTTTTTTCATGGAAGAATTTGATGATCGAAAATATTTTTTGAGAATATTCTTTGCTGTACCAATCACACCCACAACCAGAAAAATAAGTCGACCTTTGAGTCCTCGTTATTTGGAGTAGGGGTATACATAGGCTGGGTTGGCTCGGATTTTCTAATTACCAAACAAAATCAATCGTCTCAAAATTTTAAATGTGTAAATCAAACCAAACCAACAAAAGTCAGGTTTTTCAATTTCGATTTTTCTCGAGTTTTTCGGTTTTCTCGGGTTTTTCGAGTTTTTTCGGAGAAAATCTTGATAGCATAAAATATATAATTTGTGGTCTAATTTTTCTTAGGTCCTAGTAGAATAAAACTATATAAGATGTTTTCCAAGAAAATAATACAAAACAATGTGAGATGAGTCATGATTATACTAAAATACTCAATAAATCGCATAAAATAAATAGTGCTAATTAAGAACCCATAATAAAAATAAAAATAATCTAAAATTACTAAGTCATCATGCTAAAATAAATACTAAGTATTAGTTACATGACTAAATAATGATAAAAATAAGTTATGCATTTTTACTATCTAAACCAATGCAATACTAAAAGAATAATTATACAATACTATTGTCATTCCTACTTCTTAGTATTGATCAGTTTTTTTTTTAGCATTAGTATTGATTTGATTTTTCTTTGGGCTTTATTTGAGTTACTAACTTTTATGGGCTATAAAACATATTTGACAATTCAAAAATTCTAAGTTCTAACTTGAAATAATACATTAAAAAAGAGAGAACTATGAAAAAGTTTAAAAAATATTTAAAAATTACATCACAATAATTATTTTTATGTAAAAAATATTTTTAAAACGTGTATACATGTAATGTCGAGTTGGTTTAGTTTCGGTTTGGCTTTTTCCAGTTAAAACAAACCAAACTAATTATGGTCGGGTTTTCTTTTCTAATACCAAACCAAATCAAACCAAACCATAGTCGAGTTTTTTTTCTCGGTTTGACTCGGATTATCGATTTGGTGTGATTTGTCGGTTTTCTTTGTATACCCCTAATTTGGAGAGTACCATGTACTTCACCTAGTATTATTACATTATATTTTTCTCTTTGAATAAAAAGAAGCAAGCGTCTGTATCAAATTTAGAGGCAGGACAGTTTTTTGTCTCTTCCCTTGGATACAATGTATTCCTTTGAACTTTTCTCAGTCGTGTCTCTTTTCTTATGGTTTCCTCTTCATCAGGTAAGGATGCACCAAAAAAGGAAATTGAAACTTGTCCAAGATATGAGCTCACAATTACAGTACGGAGGATTGGGAATACCTCTTTTTTTGAGTTTTGCAACTTATTTTAACTAAAGATTTCTTCAATAAAAATAAAAGGTAGTCCGTGCATAAAGTATCTCGTATTTATATAGGGATCGAAAAAAAACTGCATCTAAAAAGGTATGATATAGACAACATACTCTAATACAAACATTAACGCTTGCTTCCACGTCCTGAACACGTAACCTACAGAATTTCTTACAAAAAAGATAAGAATTTAGAATTTTCTTCCTTTGATGTGTGTTATCTCGTTATTGTATTTCTGCTATATGATCAAATTATCAAGGTATGAAATGATGGGAAAAATAAAGACGCATTTTCCCAATAGACCTTACGCGACACGAATGCAAATAGCCGGTATTATGATATGAATATGAAAAAAAAAAAAATATTATAGCACGGAGGTTAACAAGATAATCACAACTTTATTGTGTGGTACGGCATGCAGCCTTTTACTGTATGATATCAATTTATTTCGTATGAAAACATTAGTTTGTATCAGATGTTTGTTTAGATTTTCTTATCATATTTGGTTTTTTTATCTGTTAAGGGATTGGACGACATATTTACCATAATTGAGTTTTTCTTCTTTTAGAAGAAAATTATAAATCTCTCATATTTGGCTAGTCCTTTTTCTTGTAGGAAAATATTTGGACTTCTATAAATTGAGGATCTCTCCTTCTCATTCAGCAGCATCCACAATGTAGTCATATGAGGTTTGAGAGTCATGTTTAGGGGAAGAACTTTACGGGACAAGTGTTAGTGTGTCACTTGTGTTTACCTCTTCGTGAGGTTATTCTCTCGATATTTTTTACTCTCTTTTTATTATAGTGGATTGCTCATCTCCGCCGTGCATGTAGGTCAATTAACTGAACCACGTCAAATGTTTATATTTCCTTTGATAAATTTCTCTTTTGTTATCTGATTTATCGTCATTGAAGGTTTGCTTTGCTAGCTTCCACGTGAACCTGATTTTTTCGATTCTAATAGTTTATCTATTCCTTTATGTTTTAGGAACATTTTGATATTTGAATCAAAGTGAGTGAAAGAGCTCATCTTTTACTGTTTTAACCATAAAGTGATTTCCAATGATTTGTGGTCACTGTTGTCCTGTTAACTATGTGAAAAGTAATTATCAGAAACTTAACATTTATATTTAAAGTTAAAGTGAAAAAATAAAGAATCTTTAAATTCTTTTTCTTTTGTGTACAAGGACCTAACATGCCAAAAATTGCACAAAGCCGCCCCTGGGCTGCTTAAATTGTGGCTACTTTTATATTTATGCACGTTTTCTTAAAACTTCTTTCACTTCTATTATTGCTTAACTCGAATTAAATAATTACAAATATTTGTCAAACTCAATGGTACAATTCTACCCCACATGCTTAATATCTCTGGTCCTTCAGTTTTTATTGGTGTACTTATTACTATCTTATGTGTCACTATTTTTTGGAAATTATACCTTAGTATGTGTCCCATCGGCCTAGAAAATTTCAAGATGTGGTTGAGGTAGTCTTAAAACTATGTCACTTAAATATTTTTATATAAATAGTTAGTTATTTGAAAAATAAAATAGTCAACGTCTTATATTCCCTCCGATTCACAATAAGTGACCAATTTGTTTTTTCATTTTAGTTCAAAATAAGTGTTCAGTTATGTAATCAAGAAAGAATTCAATTCATTTTTGCAAAATAACCCCTATGTACATATCCCTAAAAAGTTTTCTTACTCCTCACATTAAATGGTTAATTAGGGATAGTTTAGTCATAGTAGGTATTTTTGTATAGAATTTAGTATTTTCTTAATGGGCGTGTTAAAAGCAAACTGGTCACTTATTGTGAACCGGATGAAGTAATATGTTAAATTACACTGATAGATTAAAAGTTTTTACACTAAATGAGAGCTTTCGACGCATAGAAAAGGTCAAAAAGAAAAAAAGATAGCATGTTTACTAAGCTCCCACTATACGCGGGGTCCGGGGAAAGATCAGAACATAAGGAAGAGGCAAAGGTGCATTGCCCTAAGGGTGGTCAACTGGTTACCCTTGGTCGAAAAATTACACTATATAGATAAAATATTAAATTTTAATGGTATACAATATATATTGAACACCCTTTATAGGGGATTTTTTTTTTTTTACTTATTTCAAGTTTGAACACCCTAAATGAAATTTCTAGTTTCGCCACTGCCACAAGGGTTTATTGTAGACAGTCTTACCCTACATTTCTGTAAAAAACTATTTTTATGGCTTGAACCCTTGATCTCATGACTGGTAATTGAGGCGAAGTCACATGCCACTGATCTCATTTAATTTTTGTACGCACAACAAAATTGAACCAAAGAATATAAAATAACTGCTCCAATAGAAACTAAAATTGAGCGTAAATCTAAATTAGTCGGATCAACAAACTTCCTAAAAATTTTATTATCACTGATCAGAAACATTTACAGGGAAATTTTGCTCATTTTGATGATCATCTTGAAGGTAACAATTTTCAGAAAGAAGTAAAAGATATTCTTCATATACTTTCTCCAACATGCTCTCATTCATTGGCAATGAACATTTGTTTGAAATGTGGCAACTTTCTTCCATTAGAAATTCATCATAAATTGCATCCCCTTCAAGTAATTTACCAAAATCTAAGTCCCTTGGAAAGAATGAAACTTCTTCTAATTTCACCTCATTTTCCTTGTTTTCAAGATTAGCTTCTCCAGAATTACTATTTGAGGAACAAGTAGTACTCAATGTAACATTTTCAAAACTATTGTTCCTTGAAATTCCACAAGAAATCCTGATGGGTTTTGGGAAAAATACTTTGGTCTTCTCAACTTGTACAATTTGACCCTTATTGTTTTTGTTGTTGCTCTTTTTGCCTTGTATTTTTCTTGATTTCCCTTGTTGGGGTCCTTTTCTTGATTCCTTTTTGGAACATTTGGAGAAATTTTTGTGGGGTTTTGGTTCAATTCCAGCATTTTTGAGCTTCTTGATTAAATGTGTGTTCCAATAATTCTTGATTTCATTGTCTGTACGACCTGGTAATCTTCCAGCAATTAGTGACCAACGATTACCCAAAAGAGAATGTAGTCTCACTATAAGATCTTCTTCATCTTGACTGAAATTTCCTCTTTTAATCCCTGGTCTTAAATAGTTCATCCATCTTAGTCTACAACTTTTTCCACACCTAAGCAACCCTGCCATTTTTATCATAATTATACAAAAATTAATAATTCATCCCTAACGAGCAAGAAAACGGATACACTAACCGCCTAGGGCAAGTCTAGAGGTAATAGAATCTATTCACTTTCTAGTAACTTGTCCAACTCGTCCAAGTTTAAATAGATTGAATTATGAACCATTTTTTAAACTTGACTCAACAAGCTGAATCCGAAATAAACATCAAATTAAAAAAAGGGAGGGGGTGTGTGTGTGTTAGAATTTGGATCATGTTACACGGGTTGGATTATTATCTATTATTTGATTCATTTTGACTCAAGCAAAGTCGGGCAAACATGAATCACGACCCCTTTACTATTTTGACTCACCCGAGGTTTGAACCAACTCGTCCATTTGCCACCTCTAAGCATAATGAAAAGAAAGGAGAAGAAATAAAAAAAAAATAAGCACATAAATGGAAGTTATGAAAAATGGAATATTAGCAAAGTATTTACCAGCATTCTTAGGCAAAGATCTCCATTGTCCTTCACCATTTTCCTTGATATAATTAGTAAGTAATAAATCTTCTTTAGAAGACCATGGACCTTTTCTCAATCCCTCTTTTACACAACATGGTTTTCTTCCCATTTCTTAATTTCTTTTTCTTTTTTTTTCCTTCTTATTTTAGTAAATTCTCAGAGCTCAACAGAGAGAACTAAGAAGAAGTGAAGAGTGAAGTGAAGATGGGGTTTAAAGGAAAGGTGGTGCTCTTTTTGAAGCCACGAGGTTGAAATTTACAAGGCAATAATTATAATAATAATAATAATAATAATAATAATAATAATAATTTAAGTAAAGGACAGTCAGATCTAGTTGTTCCTTATTTATTGGGGAATGAACTGATTGGTTTGTTGTTTTGCAAATTTATTATTTCCCCTTGTGCATGTTTTTCGTGGATCTAGAACTTAGATTCATTACCATGTCGTACACTTGTATTTTTTTATAGAGAGCCAATCACGTTGTGGCCAGGATAGAGACCAATCTAAGATTATTTTGTTTTTCAAAATTTCATAATATTCATGATTGTAGGCATACATTTTCTATTAAAAGCACAACCTAATCCAAGCCTATATCACAAAGGATACATTCACTGAATGAAGTATTTAACTCCTTAAGTAGAGGTCTCGGGTTCGAGCTCTGGGTATGTAAAATTCTTAGTAGGGAGCGCTATTCCCCGAATGGGATCCTACTAGAAATGGATCTGCAAGAAAATCATAATTTGTGTCATCGGTCGTCCAGAAACTCACACACCCAGAAGATGAAAGTAGCAGAGATGAGGATGTTGAGGTGGATGTGCGGGCATACAAGGATGGATAAGATTAGGAATGAAGATATTCGGGAGAAGGTGGGTGTGGCCCCCATGGAGGACAAGATGCGGGAAGTAAGACTCAGATAGTTCGGGCACATTCAGAGGAGGAGCACTGATGCACCGGTGAGGAGGTGTGAGCGACTGGCTGTAGTGGGCACGCGGAGAGGTAGAGGACGACCTAAGAAGTATTGGGGAGAGGTGATCAGACAGGACATGGCGCGACTTAGGATTACTGAGGACATGACCCTTGACAGAGAATTATGGAGGTCGAGCATTAAGGTTGTAGGTTAGGGGAGAGTTGGAAATATTTCTACAACACAATAGAGTGAGACTAGCCAGTTAGGAGTTAGACTAAGAATGTCATTGGTCGATGCAGGGCTTTACCTTCTAGTTTTACTATACCAGCCATCTAGTTCGTATTTCGTATTCTGTATTTCATATCTCTTATATATTGCTGTTATTTTATTATGCATTTTTATGGTACTAATATATCGGCTCCTGTTGCTTTTTTGAGCCGAGGGTCTCCTGGAAACAGCCTCTCTACCCTTCGGGGTAGGGGCAAGGTCTGCGTACATATTACCCTCCCCAGACCCCATTTGTGGGATTATACTGGATCGTTGTTGTTGTTGTTGTTGTTATTGTTGTTGTTGTCATCGGTCGTCAAGAATTCTCACAAGATGGATGGGTGTTTCGTCAGGAACCCTCACAAAATGGATGAACTCCCTTTTTTTACGGCCTAAAACCCCTCAATAATACAGAAATATCCAACCTTAGCCGTTCTCTAGAGGATTTAGAATGCGCTTTCCAACACCCATAGTGGTATTTATATAGACAACATTAGAATTATGATTGAATTGATTAATGGGCCTTATAATAAGTTAGCATCCCTAATAGATATACTGGGCCTAAAAAATATAAATTTTCAACGATGACCATCAGTGAAATTAACCAGATTTTTAATCAATTAGACATGCAAATTCTCTTTTTTTCTTTTCTGATTTCTCACCCGGTATTCGATATCCACAGTGGGGTCCGACTAATCCGGATTCGTGCCGGAAAGTCCCACGTCAGTGCAAATTCTCACTAATGTTTGTGCCCTTTTGTCGTACGTTGTCTCATTGGTTGCATGTGGCAAGTTGCAATTATAAAGATTCTCATCGCAGTGTTCAAGAATCACTCTTGCGTCTCACAAATTAATAATCAATTTCACTCGTAAATTTTAAAGTTCGTCTTATGTTTATTTAATTCCTTTTCCTTTTTCATGTCAAGTGAGTAAAAAACTAACATGGTGTGTTTTAATTATTTAGATGACGAGCTTCTAAAAAATTAACTAAAATCATCTCCAAAGACAACCAGTAGTGCCGCACACATTTCCTTCAACTCAAGTTATATATTTTTTTTGTCCCAATTTATGTGATGTATTTCGAATTTCGAGAGTCAAATGAGTTTTTTTTATTATAATTTATATTACTTTTATTTAATTTTTAAATATATAAATTTAATTTTAGAAAAACTAAAAAAAATATTTGAATTCGCCGCCAAAATTAAAAAGTTTGATTCTCAAAATTTGAACTGTATCACAAAAGTTGAGATGGAGGAATTATATATATTTATAAATACACGTCTATAATTGATTTACAGTTAGCTAAGCTAGAAGCTGTGATCGTTGAACTCATTGTCATAGATAGGGGTGTACAAAGGAAACCGGCAAACCACATCAACCCGATAATTCGAGTCAAACCGGGAAAAAAAACCTGACTATGGTTTGGTGTTGGGAAAAAAAACCCGACCATAATTGGTTTGGTTTGGTTTTAACTAAAGAAAGTCAAATCGAAACCAAACCAACCCGACATTATATATATAGAAATTTTAGATATATTTAATATATAAATATACTTATTGTGATGTAATTTATAAATATTTCTTAAAAAATTTCATAATTTTAACTTTTAAGGTATTGTTTCAAAGTTGGACTTAGAACTTTTGAATACTTAGCCATTAATATTAGTAAATTAAATAATGCTAACAAAAGCCCAAACCAAAATCAAATTAATACTAATGCTAACAAAAGACATTCAATTTAATATTACGAACGGGAATGTATTGAATATCTATTTTTTGTTTTGCAATAATTTAGATTAAAATGCATAACCTATTTTTATTTTTCTTTAGCGTTTAGTCATGTAATTAATACTCCCTTATTAGTCTATTTATTTAACATGACTTAGTATCTTCAGATTATGTTTATTTCTATTATGGAGTTTTAATTAGCAATATTTATATTACATAATTTTATTGTCTTTATTGTTGAATATGTTAGGATAATGCCATGACACATCTCATATTTTGTATTATTTTCTTGGAAAATACTTTATATAGTTGTATCTTATTAGGATTAAAGAAATATTTTGAGCATACATTATATGTTTTATTCTACGATGATTTTACCGGAAAAAAGAAACACGAAAAAATCCGAATAACCAGAAAACCCGAGATTGAAAAAACCCGAGCTTTATTGGTTTGATCTTTAGATTTAATAACCCAACACAATTAGTTTGGTTTGATAATTGTAAAATTCGAACTAACCCGGCCTATATACATCTCTAGTCATAGAAAAGTAATGAATGATGTCATATTCTTCATTTATTAAGATGTGGTATATTCTTGGTCCACCTTTGATTGTCAAGGTGGGTCTATGACAGAAAAATATTCTAATTTAGCAATATAATATTAATTTATCAATATAATATATTCCTACGTAATATATTTGAAAATTAAAAACCCAACAGGGGTAAAAGTTAAAAAGAATTACAGCTCGATCTGCAATATCTAGGTCGTTTTCGGGGGCAGATCAATTTAACCCAAGGACACTGCTTCGTCAGAAAATTTATTAGATATGTAAATATAGTTAATAAGTAAAATAAAAATATTAAATATAAATATAAAATATAACATTACTTATCATTACAAAAATTTATTCATTTAATCACTTTTTTAAAATATTAGCAATACCGTCTATGAAAAATTATGTACTGAAAAACTCTTAACCTAGTCCCCTGTTTGCTTCTTGACTCTTGTGTATTGTGGCTCTGTTTGGGGACAGACAAAATAGTAGTACTACAATGTAGACGTGCCAATGGATCCACTCCACTTAAATGACATTATTTTTTATAGAAAATAAAGTGAAAATAGCACGGACTAATCAATTTTCCGACTGATAATTGAAAAATAGTCGGCGTTTGTAAAGTCATTGAAAAATAGCTATTATTTTACTACAACACGGAAAGTTTTAGCATAATATACTGGAGATTGGTGATGTATTGGTCAAAATCTGACCGTCACGACCAAGTTGACCGACGTCCCACCTAAGTAACCGGGCAATGAAAGTTAATATAGCCCACTCCATTCTCCTCCCTAACATCCGACGAGTCGGTGAGAGAGGCGTCTAAAAGCACGACTAAGACACATTGGCGGCAAGAGGACGTCGAGCCAAGCAAAGGGCAAGGGTGCCATGACTATATATAGCCAGGGAAAGCTTTCAACCGGGAGGGGNAGAAAGAACGAAGATCTAGAAAAACATGTAAAGCAATCTCCTCATCGCTTGATGGGAGATACAACTTTGAATTTCAATAAGATCATTTACATCCCCTTCACACTATATATGATCCGGACTGCTAGCTCTTTGATCTAGAATTAATTATGTCTGACTAAGATTTATCCCTTCATCTTTGATTGATTTGTTCAAAAAGGTTTCAATATCTTTTGAGTCAAACAATTTGGCGCCGTCTGTGGGGATTTCTTAGTTTCTCCCAGATCAAAGCCAAGAAACACAATCACCCACCAAAAAAAGCGCGAAGGGAAAATCCAACCCACGCGAGACACGGGAGCAGCGCAGTAAGGGAGGGAGAGCCAAGTAGAATTCACGAGCTTAGAAATCCTCGCCCCATCAACCATAGATATGCCAAACAAGGCAAACAATGTTACTAACTTGTTCTCCCCCATCGGACCACCGGACAGAAGCAAGGAAAATATCATTCTCACCTCCTACTTTTTGTCCCAGCAAGCACATCAAATCTGCGCGGGCGAGCACATAAAGAAACATCTCGATTAAAGAACAAAACTTACTTCAGCACAACAGAAAATACCGCCTACTGGCGACGTCTCCGAGCCGAACGGCAGGAATCAGACCAGAAAACTATAATGCATACACAACATGAACCTAAGCGAAACATCAACGTCTCATATTCACCGACACTGCACCTTCTGATGCAAGCAATATCAAATGAATTGGTACTCCCACGGAAGATATCTGATTCTCCAAAAACTGGGACTAACGACGGGCTGCTATTTCGATAAGTTCGAAATAACACACTTTAATGCCAAGGGCCATTGCCA